TATAGGCCAATATCAAACTTACCATTGCTATCCAAAATCTTTGAGAAACTCGTGCACAGGAGACTATATTCATTTATTACGGCACAAAACATACTCAACCCCTGCCAATTTGGATTCAGGAAAAATAAAAGCACTAACGATGCAATCATAAAAATGCTAGATCTGCTTTACACAGCATTGGAAAATAAGGAATATCCACTAGGAATTTTTTATTGACCTAAGAAAAGCTTTTGACACAGTAGACCACGGCATCCTACTCCACAAACTTGACCATTATGGTATAAGAGGCCATGCGCTTGCATATTTCAAATCTTACCTTACTAATAGGTATCAGTATGTCACCATTAAAGACACAGCATCAACAACACAGCCACTTGATACTGGAGTTCCGCAGGGAAGTGTCCTTGGTCCCCTGCTCTTCCTCATATACATCAATGATCTTCCAAACGTATCCCAACACCTGAAACCCATTCTCTGCTGACGACACGACTTATGTCATCTCTCACCCTAATCTTGCCACCCTCAACACCATTGTTAATGAGGAGCTGATCAAAATATCGACTTGGATGACAGCCAATAAACTTACGCTTAACACTGGCAAAACCTACTACATTATGTTTGGTAGCACAGCAGGAGATGCGCAAATTAACATTAAGATCGACAACACTCTAATTGCCAGGCATAATGAGGGCAAATTCCTAGGCCTATACCTCGACAACAACCTGAACTTCAGCACCCATATCCAACACATAACCAAAAAAGTATCCAAAACGGTTGGGATCCTCTCCAAGATACGATACTACGTACCGCAAGCTGCCCTTCTCACACTATACCATTCACTTATAAATCCATACCTCACCTATGCTATTTGTGCTTGGGGATCAACTGCAGCAACACACCTAAAGCCAATAATAACCCAACAAAAAGCTGCAGCAAGAATAATCACTAAATCCCATCCCTGGCAACACCCCTCCCCCACTCTTCATAGATCTAAACTTACTCCCTGTTCAGTACATCCACACTTACTACTGTGCAATCTACATCTACAGGACCTTAAATTCCAATATTAACCTTGACCTAAAACGCTTTCTTGATAGTTGTGACAGAACCCACAGGCACAACACCAGACACAAACATCTCTACGACATTCCCCGTGTCCGACTAAACCTTTACAAAAATTCAATGTATGTCAAAGGCCCTAAAATCTGGAACACCCTACCTGAAAATTCTAAAACTGCAGACACATTCATCACCTTCAAAACTACCATCAGAAAACATCTTATCTCCCTGATACACCCTGTCAACTAATAATACGAATACCACCTGGTGGTTCACACTTACACTCACTCACCCATTTGACCATAAACAGAAATATCAATCTCAATCTCAAAATAATGAATCTTAACTAGTCATAAGTTGGCCTGTGATACTCCAATACTGAAACTATATATAGTGCCAAAACAAAAGCATTCACATTGCTAAACTCACATAAGTCACTCTGTCTGACTTTTTTGGGTTATCCTAGGTTCTCTACACATATGCTGCTATGTATGATAATTCTATGTAACTGTATTTGTGTATACCTGAATAAACTTACTTACTTACTTACTTACTAACTTAGCCATAATACCAACTTACCACATAATTTTGTAATATTTTAAACTTAAGAGTTCAATGCCGGAAAAAAAATCCCCCCCCAGTACCAACAATACCACCAGTCCGATAACATTCTTCTTTGCAAATATACAGGGTCTAAAGCCAGCAACAAACAACAAAATACCTTTCATCCTTGGACTGCTTGCAGAGGCAAAGGCAATGTTCGCGGCTTTCACTGAGACCCACATAAAGGATCACTTGGACAACGAAATATGGATCCCAGGTTACAACCTATACAGATGTGACAGAGTGAACAGGCAAAGGGGGGGGTTGGCCTGTACATTGCAGAGTCACTTGTTTGCACAGAACTGCTAAATGCCTCAATGATGTAGTGGAAGTTTTAGCAGTAAAGGTCGAGAACCAAAACCTAGTCATTGTGATAGTCTACAAGCCTCCGGATGAACATCCAGCAATTCAGGAACAGCTGTTAAAAATTGACCACTGTCTGGAAAACCTTCCAGCTCCTGCACCCAACATCTTGCTCCTGGGGGATTTCAACTTAAGGCACCTAAAATGGAGGAATATAGCAAATAATATTGTTGCAGTAATAACACCAGGAGGCAGCTCTGATGAAAAACTCACACTCAACGCGAGCTTTTAAATCTCTGCACAAAATTCAATTTAAACCAGCAAATAATAGAGCCTACTAGACTGGAGAATACACTAGACCTCATCTTCACTAACAATGATGATCTGATAAGAAATATCACCATATCAAAAACAATATACTCAGATCACAACATAATTGAGGTTCAGTCATGTATGCGAGGAGCCCCAGACCGACCATAATGAGACTAGGCACGAGGGAGCATTCACCAAATTCAACTTCAATAACAAAAACATAAAGTGGGACCAAGTAAACCAAGTCCTAACCGATATAAGCTGGGAAGATATACTAAGCAACACAGACCCCAACTTATGCCTAGAACAGATTAACTCGGTGGCACTCGATGTATGCACAAGGCTTATTCCTCTAAGAAAAAGGAGGAGTAGATGTAAAAACAGAAAGAGACAGGCGCTCCCTTTACAGGCGACGGAAAAGAATAACAGAGCGGCTAAAAGAGTCAATATATCTGAAATGCGTAGGGAGACACTGGTCAGAGAAATAGCAAGCATCGAACTGAAGCTAAAAGAATCCTTTAGGAGTCAGGAATCGCGGGAAGAACTAAAAGCCATAAATGAAATCGAAAGAAACCCAAAGTATTTCTTCTCCTATGCCAAATCAAAATCGAGAACAACGTCCAGTATTGGGCCCTACTTAAACAAGATGGGTCCTACACAGATGACAGCAAGGAAATGAGTGAGCTACTCAAGTCCCAATATGACTCAGTTTTTAGCAAGCCGCTAACCAGACTGAGAGTCGAAGATCAAAATGAATTTTTTATGAGAGAGCACAAAATTTGATTAACACAAGCCTATCCGATGTTATCCTGACGCCAAATGACTTCGAACAGGCGATAAATGACATGCCCATGCACTCTGCCCCAGGGCCAGACTCATGGAACTCTGTGTTCATCAAGAACTGCAAGAAGCCCCTATCACGAGCCTTTTCCATCCTATGGAGAGGGAGCATGGACACGGGGGTCGTCCCACAGTTACTAAAAACAACAGACATAGCCCCACTCCACAAAGGGGGCAGTAAGCAACAGCAAAGAACTACAGACCAATAGCACTAACATCCCATATCATTAAAATCTTTGAAAGGGTCCTAAGAAGCAAGATCACCACACATCTAGAAACCAATCAGTTACACAACCCAGGGCAACATGGGTTTAGAACAGGTCGCTCCTGTCTGTCTCAAACTATTGGACCACTACGACAAGGTCCTAAATGCACTAGAAGACAAAAAGAATGCAGATGTAATATATAACAGACTTTGCAAAAGCCTTCGACAAGTGTGACCATGGCGTAATAGCGCACAAAATGCGTGCTAAAGGAATAACAGAAAAGTCGGTCGATGGATCTATAATTTCCTCACTAACAGAACACAGAGAGTAGTCGTCAACAGAGTAAAGTCCGAGGCAGCTACGGTGAAAAGCTCTGTTCCACAAGTCACAGTACTCGCTCCCATCTTGTTCCTTCATCCTTATATCCGACATAGACAAGGATGTCAGCCACAGCACCGTGTCTTCCTTTGCAGATGACACCCGAATCTGCATGACAGTGTCTTCCATTGCAGACACTGCAAAGCTCCAGGCAGACATCAACCAAATCTTTCAGTGGGCTGCAGAAAACAATATGAAGTTCAACGATGAGAAATTTCAATTACTCAGATATGGTAAACATGAGGAAATTAAATCTTCATCAGAGTACAAAACAAATTCTGGCCACAAAAATAGAGCGAAACACCAACGTCAAAGACCTGGGAGTGATCATGTCGGAGGATCCACCTTCAAGGACCATAACATTGTATCAATCGCATCTGCTAGAAAAATGACAGGATGGATAATGAGAACTTCAAAAACTAGGGAGGCCAAGCCCATGATGACACTCTTCAGGTCACTTGTTCTATCTAGGCTGGAATATTGCTGCACACTAACAGCAACTTTCAAGGCAGGTGAAATTGCCGACCTAGAAAATGTACAGAGAACTTTCACGGCGCGCATAACGGAGATAAAACACCTCAATTATTGGGAGCCCTTGAGGTTCCTAAACCTGTATACCTGGAACGCAGGAGGGAGAGATACATGATTATATACACCTGGAAAATCCTAGAGGGACTAGTACCGAACTTGCACACGAAAATCACTCACTACGAAAGCAAAAGACTTGGCAGACGATGCACCATCCCCCCAATGAAAAGCAGGGGTGTCACTAGCACGTTAAGAGACCATACAATAAGTGTCAGGGGCCCGAGACTGTTCAACTGCCTCCCAGCACACATAAGGGGGATTACCAACAGACCCCTGGCAGTCTTCAAGCTGGCACTGGACAAGCACCTAAAGTCAGTTCCGGATCAGCCGGGCTGTGGCTCGTATGTTGGTTTGCGTGCAGCCAGCAGCAACAGCCTGGTTGATCAGGCTCTGATCCACCAGTAGGCCTGGTCTCAGACCGGGCCGCGGGGGCGTTGACCCCCGGAACTCTCTCCAGGTAAACTCCAGGTAATTTAAGTCTGCCCGAAATGCCTAGCCATGCTAGGTGTTCTAGTGGTACACTGTAATCATTATTTAACTACATGTAAACCACACAATAACCAAATTCTGTAAACTCAGCATTGTAATCCTTAAAGAGAATAAATTTTGAATTTGAATAATACACTAATTAGATAAATAGATAGAAATAGACAGTACTGACAATAATACAATAGTTAGATAAATAAATAGACAGTAATAGAAATTACTAACCTCTCTACACAAAGCATAGCTGATGGGGTGATACTGGTTGTTGTTCATGCTGGTAGTTGTGGTAGTATATTTGAGTACACACAGTCCTACCAGTCCTACCAGCACTGTCACCAGCGCTATGACCTTGGCCTTCACCATCCTGAAGCTGTGTCTACTCTGTCTACCTTGTGTCTTGTCTACCTTGTGTGTATTGTCTACCTTATGCACCTTGTCTACTTTGTTTGCCTCTGTCTACCTTGTCTAAGCTATACAATGATGTCTACAGTCAATTCTAAACTCTTTGGAATCAGTCTACGTAATCTGAGGGTCTAAACTTGATGATTGGACTCAGTCTACGTAATCTGTGGGTCTAAAATTGATAATTTTTTGGATTATTGGGGATTTCCCAGAATTTTGTGGATTATTGGGGATTTCCCGGGATTTTGGGGAATTACTGGGGATTTCCCATTATATGAGAGAGATTTATTTTCCATAATTTATACTAGTATGTATAATAATTTTGGATTTTTTTTTTTTGAGAAAAATTGTAAAGTTACCCATTAAATATTTTCAAAGCCATGTTAATATAGCTTCAGGGTAGACTTTGATAATATAACTTCAGGGTAGACTTTGATAATATAGCTTCAGGGTAGACTTTGATAATATAACTTCAGGGTAGACTTGATAATATAACTTCAGGGTAGACTTTGATAATATAGCTTCAGGGTAGACTTTGATAATATAGCTTCAGGGTAGACTTTGATAATATAACTTCAGGGTAGACTTTGATAATATAACTTCAGGGTAGACTTTGATAATATAACTTCAGGGTAGACTTTGATAATATAACTTCAGGGTAGACTTGATAATATAGCTTCAGGGTAGACTTTGATAATATAACTTCAGGGTAGACTTTGATAATATAACTTCAGGGTAGACTTTGATAATATAACTTCAGGGTAGACTTTGATAATATAACTTCAGGGTAGACTTTGATAATATCGCTTCAGGGTAGATTTTGATAATATCGCTTCAGGGTAGACTTTGATAATATCGCTTCAGGGTAGACTTTGATAATATCGCTTCAGGGTAGACTTTGATAATATAACTTCAGGGTAGACTTTGATAATATCGCTTCAGGGTAGACTTTGATCCCAGCTTCTGTCAAAAAATAAAAATTAGAATAATAATAATATTATTATTAATAATAATAATAATAATAATAATAATAATAAAATAATAATAATATAATAATAATAATAATAATAATAATAATAATAATAAAAATAATAATAATAATAAAAAATAATAAATATCTTTATTTCTACCAGTACATGATACAACTTATACAGACCATAGCTCACACCAATGACATACTACTAAAATACATCGACACCATGCCTAACCCTTCTAGGGTAGGGTAGGTGCCTGAGCCCGAGCCTTTAGCTCATAAGACTGTCATTCCCATTTACCCCCTTGGGGCGGGGGTGGCAGACCAGAGAGGCCTTAGCTTGTGGCTAGGCCTGGGGACAGTTGGTCCCAAAGATGAGGAGGTACTTGTGCCTCCTCCCATGGGAGACTTGGGTCTCAGACACTCCCTAAAGAGGGAGCCAAGGCCGGGCCACCCTTGGAAAAGGCCCGGGCTGGGAGAATACCGGCGAATCTTTAACTAACTAACTAACTACTACTAAATACTACTATATAGTACAAAACAAATTCTGGCCACAAAATAGAGCGAAACACCAACGTCAAAGACCTGGGAGTGATCATGTCGGAGGATCTCACCTTCAAGGACCATAACATTGTATCAATTGCATCTGCTAGAAAAATGACAGGATGGATAATGAGAACCTTCAAAACTAGGGATGCCAAGCCCATGATGACACTCTTCAGGTCACTTGTTCTATCTAGGCTGGAATATTGCTGCACACTAACAGCACCTTTCAAGGCAGGTGAAATTGCCGACCTAGAAAATGTACAGAGAACCTTCACGGCGCGAATAACGGAGATAAAACACCTCAATTACTGGGAGCGCTTGAGGTTCCTAAACCTGTATTCCCTGGAACACAGGAGGGAGAGATACATGATTATATACACCTGGAAAATCCTAGAGGGACTAGTACCGAACTTGCACACGAAAATCACTCACTACGAAAGCAAAAGACTTGGCAGACGATGCAACATCCCCCCAATGAAAAGCAGGGGTGTCACTAGCACGTTAAGAGACCATACAATAAGTGTCAGGGGCCCGAGACTGTTCAACTGCCTCCCAGCATACATAAGGAGGATTACCAACAGACCCCTGGCAGTCTTCAAGCTGGCACTGAACAAGCACCTAAAGTCGGTTCCTGACCAGCCGGGCTGTGGCTCGTACGTTGGTTTGCGTGCAGCCAGCAGCAACAGCCTGGTTGATCAGGCTCTGATCCACCAGGAGGCCTGGTCACAGACCGGGCCCCGGGGGCGTTGACCCCTGGAACTCTCTCCAGGTAAACTCCAGGTAATAGAAAGTCACTTGTTATGCTGAGCATTTCCCGCAAATTATGTCAGTTTTGTCCCCAGGATGTGACCCACACCAGTCCACTAACACCCAGAATGTGACCCACACCAGTCCATTAACACCCAATCGACACCATGCCCAGCCCTTCTAGGGTAGGGTAGGTGCCTGAGCCCGAGCTTTCAGCTCACAAGACTCATTCCCATTAGTCCCCTTGGGGCTGGGATGGCAGACCAGAGATGCCTAGCTTGTGGCTAGGCCTGGGGACAGTTGGTCCCAAAGATGAGGAGGTACTTGTGCCTCCTCCCATGGGAGACTTAGGTCTCAGACACTCCCTAAAGAGGGAGCCAAGGCCGGGCCACCACTTGGAAAAGGCCCGGGCCGGGAGAATACCGGCGAATCTTTAATAATAATAATAATAATAATTAACACCCAGGATGTGACACACACCAGTCCACTAACACCCAGGATGTGACACACACCAGTCCACTAACACCCAGGATGTGACACACACCAGTCCACTAACACCCAGGATGCCAACCACACCAGTCCACTAACACCCAGGATGCCACCCACATCAGTCCACTAACACCCAGGATGTGACCCACACCAGTCCACTAACACCCAGGATGCCACCCACACCAGTCCACTAACACCCAGGATGCCACCCACACCAGTCCACTAACACTCAGGATGCCACCCACATCAGTCCACTAACACCCAGGATGTGACCCACACCAGTCCACTAACACCCAGGATGTGACCCACACCAGTCCACTAACACCCAGGATGTGACCCACACCAGTCCACTAACACCCAGATGTGACCAACACCAGTCCACTAACACCAGGATGTGACCCACACCAGTCCACTAACACCCAGGATGTGACCCACACCAGTCCACTAACACCCAGGATGTGACCCACACCAGTCCACTAACACCCAGGATGTGACCCACACCAGTCCACTAACACCCAGGATGTGACCCACACCAGTCCACTAACACCCAGGTACCTATTTTGGTGAACATGGACAACCGGTTTCTATCCTCGCTGGGGATCGAACCCAGACCCTCGCCGTGTGAAGCGAGATCATTAGCTACACCTGGAAAATCCTAGAGGGACTAGTACCGAACTTGCACACGAAAATCACTCACTACGAAAGCAAAAGACTTGGCAGACGATGCACCATCCCCCCAATGAAAAGCAGGGGTGTCACTAGCACGTTAAGAGACCATACAATAAGTGTCAGGGGCCCGAGACTGTTCAACTGCCTCCCAGCATACATAAGGGGGATTACAAACAGACCCCTGGCAGTCTTCAAGCTGGCACTGGACAAGCACCTAAAGTCGGTTCCTGACCAGCCGGGCTGTGGCTCGTACGTTGGTTTGCATGCAGCCAGCAGCAACAGCCTGGTTGATCAGGCTCTGATCCACCAGGAGGCCTGGTCACAGACCGGGCTTCGGGGGCGTTGACCCCCGGAACTCTCTCCAGGTAAACTCCAGGTAAACCAGGCCACGGGGCCTGCTGGCCCCGTATACATGTATGTATGTATTCATGAATGTATACATGTATGTTTAGACATGTATGTATATTTTCAAATTAAAGAAAACGGACAATAACGCAATTAATGGGTAACTTTCTTAAAAAACACAAAACATTTTTGCTGCTTGAAATTCACATCATACACACATACCAGGCTCATAAATATGTATATTATGCACATACACACCTACAAAAAATTGTATAAGAGCCTCGGATCAATAGTGATGACAAGCAGAAATAGACAGAATAGCAGGAATTGCTAAATCAACCTGTCGAATCCCGTGCAACTTTCACTCTCAGATTTGCAATTTCACGTTATTCCCATTGCAATGGATGGTGTTGCAGGTTAATGACTGGTTATTGGGTTAATTAACGTCATGTTAACTTGGATGAGGTGTTGCAATGGTGTTGCTAAGGTTCTGGAGTGACTAGGACAGGATATTATTCATTATTGTGGTTGTTGAGGCCCCCAGGATGCCGCCCACACCTCTTTATGTTCATATTCAGGTTCCTACTAGAGGTATAGTGGTTGTTTGGTTGGTTAATGGGCGTTAAACAGGGTCATTAAGACAGGTTGGTTGGTTAATAGGGTTTAAAGTCTATCTAATACACCAGGATCATTAAAACTGGTTGATTAGTTAACGAGGGTTAAAATCTATCTACTACACCACCAGAGAGGAGGAACCAGGAGCTGTGCCTCGTCCCCTGTAACCCTATATAGAGGAGTACAAATACGTGATAACTCCCCTAGGCCTAACTCTAACAAGGCCTATTGTAATCTCATACTAATCTCAATGACGAAGCCTGATTATCATAATTATTATTATTAATATTTCCAATAGGCCTCACAAGGCCTCCCTCGAGAACGTAACAGCAGCTAGGCATCAAACTGACCTTAGAAAGCATACATTGCAATGTGCAACACAGCAGCAACACTCTGCAATAATACTCATTGTTATAATTGATTTGCACAATTCTGGTGTGTTGTGCAAGGTATGCAATATTACCTTGCTAACTCAACTAATTCACTGAACATATTTACTTAATAATTACTTATCATATTCCCAAAAATATCACCTAACACATTCACCAAACAATCACCTAACCATCACCTAACATATTCACCTAACACATTCACCTAACATATTCACCTAACACATTCACCTAACATATTCACCTAACACATTCACCTAACATATTCACCTAAACATTCACCTAACATATTCACCAACACATTCCCCCTAACAATTCCCCTAACACATTCACCTAACAATTCAAACCCACAACAAACACCAACATTCACCTAACACCTCACCTAACATATTCACCTAACACATTCACCTAACTTTCACCTAACACATTCACATAACCATCCACCAACACACTCACCTAAAATATCACCTAAAAACATTCACCAACAAATCACCTAACACCTCACATAACATATTAACCTAACACATTCACCTAACAATTCACCTAACCCCCCAAATCACCAACATATTCACCCCAAAATTCACCTAACAATTCACCTAACACATTCACCTAACATATTCACCTAACACACTCACCTAACATATTCACCTAACACATTCACCTAACATATTCACCTAACACACTCACCTAACATATTCACCTAACAACATTCACCTAACATTCACCTAACACATTCACCTAACATATTCACCTAACACATTCACCTAACATATTCACCTAAAACATTCACCTAACATATTCACCTAACACATCACCTAACAATTCACCTAACAACACTCACCTAACATATTCACCAACACATTCACCTAACAAAATTCACCTAACAACATAACACCTAACATATTACCTAAAATTCTACACTAAAAAATATTCACCTAACAAACGACTCCTAAAACAAATAACTCAACAAATCGTACAATAATAAAAAACATGTACAATATACACAACAAATCATGTACAATACACTCAACAAATCATGTACAATACACTCAACAAATCATGTACAATACACTCAACAAATCATGTACAATACACTCAACAAATCATATACAATACACTCAACAAATCTGTACAATACATCAACAAATCATTACAAAACGCTCAACAAATCATGTACAATACACTCAACA